GGGAAGGATGCTCCATCCCGTATCAGCATGGGGAAGGATGCTCCATCCCATATCTGCATGGGGAAGGATGCTCCATCCCGTATCAGCATGGGGAAGGATGCTCCATCCCATATCTGCATGGGGAAGGATGCTCCATCCCAAATCAGCATGGGGAAGGATGCTCCATCCCATATCTGCATGGGGAAGGATGCTCCATCCCAAAACTGTGCAGAGAAGGATGCTCCATCCCGTATCAGCATGGGGAAGGATGCTCCATCCCAAATCAACACAGCAAAGGATGCTCAGAGCGGCATCCTTGTCGAGTGGTCCCGTTCTGGGGGGCGGAAGCGGGCTTTGGGACCGTACCTAGTCTCCGTTGCGGAGGTCGCCGCCGCGGGTGCTGTTGGCGCACTCGGCGTCCTTGGTTTTCCGATCGATTTCTCCCCCTTTGATCTTCTTGCGGGTCATATGGCCACGGAAACTAGCCTGGATCTTGGCGGCCGCCGCGTTGGCATCGGGATCGTCCAAAGGGATGTCCAGGATGTCCTCGTCCAGCTTTGTGCAGGCTCCCTCCTGGCGGTGGCAAGGCGAGGGTTACAGCTGGTGGGACCTCAAACAGGGCATCCCCCTCCCCAAAGGGATCCATTCCAGAAGGTCCTCAATTAGCCCCTGTGCTAAAAATTAGGGGGGGGGGATTCCTAAAAATTAGGTCTATTTGTTAAAAATGAGGGTCCTTTGCTAAAAATAAGGGAGTTTGCTAAAAATCGGGGTCTCTTGCAGGAGCCTTGGGGGCTTTGCAACCGAAGGTGCAGCAAGGGAAAGTGCTTCACCCCCTGCCCACCCCTAAATCCCACCCTGGGCCACCCAGCTGCAAGAAGCCAGACCCCAGCCAGGTTGATCCTGATTCCTGGGGGTTCTGACACAGGGAGCAGAGGATGGGCTCTGGGGGGGATTTTTTGCAGGGTGGGGGGGCCGCGCTGCACAAACCAAGCTGGTCGTGCCTCAGTTTCCCCTTCCCTCGCAACCTGTTGCATCCTCCTGTATCCCTCCCCAGGGCTTTGGTTGAAAACACCGGGAAATTTGGGAAGGGATTGATGCTCGAGGGGAGGAAAAGCCCCCCCAGGGATACATCACTACAGCCCAGTCCCCTCCTGCCACATCCCACTGGAGCAGTTGGACGCAGCACCGAGACCAAGAGGGAAAAAAAAAACCACAGGAAAAAGAAATGAGCTGGAAATGAGCCAGCCTTGGATGCTGGGCAGGGAGTGAAGCTTTTTTGTCCCCCCAGAGGGGCTCAAAAGTACTTAAAGGAGTTTTTTTGGGGGGGGGCTATTTGGAAGCTGTAGATTTTGGGAGGGGGGAGGGTGTTCATCCTGCCGGAGAGCGGCCACGGCTCCACAGAGTTGCTCAGGTTGTTTTACCATTGCCAAAGGTGAGGGGAGCAAAGGAGCAGCGGCTCAAGTGACGGCTCCAAGGTGGAAGTGATATGTCCAGGGTGGAAATGTTATAGCCAGAGGAGAAATCCTATAGCCAGGGGAGAAATCCTATAGCCAGGAGAAGGAAATCCTATAGCTAGGAAAGAAATCTTCCATTCAGGAGAGAAATCCTATATATGGGAGGAGGAGAGGGAAGCCATATCCAGGGGAGAAATCCTATATCCAGGGGAGAAATCCTATATCCAGAGGGAGGAAATCCTATATCCAGGGAAGAAATCCTATATACAGGGGAAGAAACCTATATCCAGGGAAGAAATACTATATCCGGGGGAGGGAATCCTACAGTCGGGGGAGAAAACCTATATACAGCGAAAAATATCCTATATCCATGGGAAAAATCCTATATCCATGGGAGAAATCCTATATCCAAGGGTGAAATCTTATATTCAGAGAGAGGAAATGCTGCATCCAGGGGAGAAATACCATATACAGGTGGAGGAAACCTATATATGCGGGGGAATTTCCTATACCCAGGGGAGAGATCCTATATTCAGGGGAGAAATCCTACATACAGGTGGTGAAAACCTATATCCAGGTTGAGAAATCCTATATATAGGTGGGGGAGATGTATATTCAGGAGAAAAAAACAACCATATCCAGGGGAGACATCCTATATTCAGGGGAAAAAAAACATATCCAGGGGGACATATCCTAAATCCACAGGAGAAATCCTATGTCTAGTTGGAGGAATCTTTTATATAGGTGGAGGAACCCTATATTCAGGGCAGAAATCCCATATTCAGGGGACAAATACCATATCCATGGGATAAAAACCTCTACACAGGGAATGAAAACTTGTATCTAGGGGAGAAATCCTATATTCAGAGGGAGAAATCCTATATATGAGGGAAAAATCCTATATGTCGGGGAGAAATTCCATATCCAGAGAGGAGAAATCCTATACCCAGGGTGGGTTTTGCCTGTTTGGAGGTGCCCAGGAGGAGGGATGGGGGCTTTTCCCGGTGCTGCCACCTGAGCAGGAGGGGGGAAAGAGGGGGAAAAAGTGTGGAAAGGGGAAAAAAAAAAGAGGAAAAGGGGGAAGAAAGGGGGAGAGGGGCAGGAAAAGTCAGGGAAAACAAGGAGAGAGGGGGAAAAGGATGTGGGTTTGTGCCGGATCAGCTCCCCGAGCCGGCCAGCAGCAAGGGGAGCTCACCCTCGGGTGAGGAGCCAGGGGTGCAGCTCCAGTTGATCCCTTCATCCACAGGCAACCCCCGATCCCACCTGGACAGTAATTTAGGGGGTGGAGGAGGGGGAAGAAAAAGCTTAAAAAAAAAGCTGGATTTGGGGACGGGGGTGATTTTCCCGAGCGGGCTGTGGGACGCAGGATGCTGACCGTGCTGTGGCCCCGGCGGGATGAACCCTGAACTGGTGCGAAGCAGGAGGGGGGTTTGGGGCGGGGGGGCTGGGGGGAGATGGGCCTGGGGGGCTGCAGCAGCGCTGGGGTCGGGGGGAGACGTGGAGTTGTTCGAGCTCCTGGGTGCAGCACCCATCGCACCCCCTGCCCCCGCCACCCCAAACCCCCTCGGCCGCCCCCGGACCTCACCACTAATAACGGATTAAAGGCGGAAAAGCGGGTGCTGGGTGGGGGGGAGAGGGGGAAGGGGGGACCTACATTGCAGCAGTCCATGGCGGAGGGCGGGTGGGCGGCCAGCGGCGGGCGAGGGGCTCCGGCAGGATCTCGCTTCCCCGGCAGCTCTCCCGGCGCAGGTGGCAAGTTGAGCGGAGCCGCTTGCCTACGTAATGCGCTTTCCTCCGGGCGAGCCTATCAGCCCGACACCCCTGCCAGGCTTTTGGGGGGGAAAAGGGGGGGTGTCTTATTTTTTTTTTTTTTTTTTTTTTTCCCTCCTCCAATTTTATTTCGCAGCCTCCAACTCCCTCCTAACACTTAAAGGAGCCGGCAGCTCGCCTCGGAGTTTCGTGGAACACAACATCACATGCGGAGGACGCGAGCCAAGATCTGACGGGGCTCGCCCTCGGCGTGGAGGGTTTTTGGGGGGTTTTTTTGAGAGAGGGGACAAAGCTGCAGTAAATGGGGGCTACGTGTGCATTTTTTGAGGGGGACACTTGGCCCGCAGTGATGCTGGAGGGAGGTTTTGCCCCCCCCGGGTTCGTTTGCACAGGGGGAAAATCGTTCTTGACCTACTTAGGACTTGGTCCCAAAGAAGAGTGTGGATGAGGATGGCGAGGATGAAAATGGTGAGGAAGGGTGGGCATGGTGGGACACCACGTCCCAGCGAGCATCCCCTTAAGCCCAGGGGTGATGTGCCCAACTCCAGGCTCCACACAGAGGAGTGGGCTCCACTCTTGGGGTCTAGGGTCCCTTCCCCACTCACAGGAGTATCCAAACCCCCACATTTGGGGTGCTCTCCAACCAGAGCTGCACCTCCAGCTGCTCTCCTGGCCCTTGGTGCTGCCTGCAGACCCTGCTTCCAGCCTCAGACCGCGCTGAGGTGCTGGGACTGGCAGGGTGAGCCGGGGCAGCCCAGGAAAGAGGAGGGACCTCCAGGGCAATGCGGGGGGCTGCAGCCTGCAGCCCCCCCATCGCCCGCCTCGCTCTCCTCTAATCCGGGTTTGGGAGTTGCTAAGCAACTGCATAAGTCGCCCGTGGGCTCGGCGCCGATGCCGCTCCGGCCGGCCCCCAAAACACGGCGTGGCCCCCCCAGACGGGCACCAGCACCCCCGGCCCACCCGCACAGCCCAGCACAGCCAGTGCTCCCAGGGTGGGTTTGCTCACCCTGGGGTCGTTGTTCTTGGGGGCCTGGTGGCACTGACCTTCCTCTTTGCCATCATCTCGTCCCTGTCCCACTGACATCACTGTCACTGTTCCTGCCACTGTCACCGCTGCTGTCACCAACCCTGTCCCCATCCCTGACCTCATCCCCATCACCTCCATCACCTTCTCCATCCCCACCATTTTGCCTGTCCCCATCTCCATCACCATCCCTGTCATGATCTCCATCCCCATTCCTTGTCCCCTCCTCTGTCTCCATCTCCATTCCTGTCCCCTCCCCTGTCCCCATCCCGATTCGATTCTTGTCACCATCTCCATTCTTGTCCCCATCATCATTCTTGTCCCCATCCCCCTCATAAATCCCCATCGCTGTCCCGATTTCCAGCTTCAACCCCATCATTTCTGTCCCCATCCCCATCCCTTTCCCCATCCCCATCATCACCCTCATCCCTGTCCCTATCCTTAGCCCTGTCCCTTTCCCATCCCATCTCCATCTCTGTCCCCAGGGCCATTCCAGATGGATGCAGGTGGTGGCACCCCTTGTGCCCTGACACCCCAAGCTCCCCAGAACACCCAGACATCCCACTCCCCATCCCACTCCATCCCATTCCATCTCACCCCAGGAACATCCCACCCCTGCCCCCCATCGTGACCCACACTTGGAGGCTGATGGGGGTCACCCCCACCTTGCATCACCCAGGCACACAAATCCCCCTCCAGGACATGCTCCCAAGCATCCCTCAATTCTTCCACCAGCTGTTGGCACCCTACTCTCCCTGCTGGAGACGCTTTTCCACCGCCACCTCTTCCCACCAGCGTGGCTGGGCGTGTGGGGAATAGCTCTGCTCCAGAAAACCCCGCTCCAGCTTCCAGAAGAAGCCTCGGCAGCTCTTCTGGGATCCTTTTCCCTGTTTTCTTAGACCGTGCAGGTCCATCGCTGCCTGCTCCGATCAGAGGAGACAGCGCGTTTGGGGGAGCGAAGCGGGAAGGGTTTTTGGGGTGATTCATCCATCAAGGATCTGGGAAGTTAGCCCCAAAATTAGGATTAGTCCCTCAATTAGTCCCCAAAATCCGCTCCAGCCGTGGCCCCCCGGTCCTGGCAGAGCCACCGAGCGCCGCCGTCTCCCGCAGGCTGCGGCTGCGGAGGAGGGACGTGAAATGCCAGAACATTTCTAATCATTAACGGCGGGGTTTGAGCCCATTCCAGGCTCTGCATTTTTCCTCCCCGGGCCCCTTCATCCGGGTGATGCTTTTCCAGGTGCTCCAGCACCTCCAAAACATGAATTCCAGAGGGAACAACTCAGATTTCGGGAGGGGAGGAGGACGGGAAACCGCAGCTGGGCAAGACCTGCCGGGAACATCCCGCCGCTGTGGTTTGAGATGGTTGGCACTGAGGTGTTAAAAAATCCTTTAAAAAAAAAATAAAAAGGAAAGAATCCTTAAAAACAAAATGGGAATTGGATGCTGGAAAGATGCCCTGGGCGGGCAGCGTTGCCGGCTGCCGAAGCAGGAGCCGGCAGCCGGCGAGGCGGTGCCGGAGTGGGGGTCAAGGCGTAGCTGGTTGGCATCAGCCCCGGCACGGGGTCCCCGCCAGCTTTTTTTCCTCATCCCTCCTTCCTGTTTTTCCCAGGGGAGCTGCCATGGTGCCCCGTGCCGTGGGCGAGCGCCGCGTACGGCCGGAGAAAACAGGGAAGAGGGGGGAAAAACAGGGTGAGCACGGATGGGGGGCTCAGACCACCCCCAAAAATAGAACACAAACCCCATCACTAATTGCGGGGGGGGGGGGATTTTGGAACCACTTCAGGTGGGAAAACGTGAAGTTCACCGGTTGGAGTGAGACTAGGGGAGCCCTGCACGCACCCCAAAATTCCACAGAGGCATCTGAGCTCTTGGAGGTGGGTAGGAGAGGAGCAATGTCACATCGTTTCTTCACGCCGGGATGTTATTAAGTTTCTTCCAACCTCCAGGGATGCAGGGGCCTAAATATAGAGGCTAAAAATATCAACCCGTGCTCAGCTCAGCCCCAAACCCGGGAGTTTTTGGGGAGAAATCTCAGGTGAGCAGCGCTAATAATGGTCAGGACCTCATTAATAAAAGTCCTCATTAAAACAGCGCCGCAGGGGTGGGATGGGAGCACTCAGGAGAAGGGCAGGAGCCAGGGTGGGATCAAGGGTTTTTTTTGGTTTTGGGGTCGGATGGTAGGAAATGGGATATTTGGGGCAAGCACTGGGGTCGTGTCCCTGGGGAGGTGTCCTGGTTCATGAGGGTTATGGGAACGTGCACACCCTGGGTGTCTCTCTGGGCATTTTGAGGTGGAATCACGGCGTGTCGGTGCCCTGGGTACTCTCTGCTCCCCCTGGTGCTGCCCCCGTGTCCTTGGCCTCCTTTGGTTCCTGGAAGAAAAGTGGGAAATTTAGGTGGTACGGGACAAGGGCGGTGGGAATGGGGTGGGGGCAGGGAGCCAGTGCAGCCCTCGGCACCCGGATTTCTCTGGAGGGGCCTGGAAGGGAGAGTGGCCTTCCTACCTGGGAAGGGGGCCAGGTGAGGCGGTGGTCCTCCAGCAGGGCTCCCCACGCCACCGGGTCAACAGCACCAGCTGGGGAAAGAGGAGGCTTGATGGGCACATGGGCAGGCACAACAACACGGGTGATGGGCACAAATGGAAGGCCTGATGCCACAGGAAATGGACATTTGGGGCAGGCACAACGCCATGGGTGATGGGCACATGGGGCAGGTGTGATGCCGTGGGTGCTGGGCCTCAGGAGAGGCCTGATGATGGGCACGTGGGGCAGGACTGACACTCTGGTGATGGGCACGTGGGGCAGGCGTGATGCCACACAGGCTGGGCAGGCAGTGCAGCGTGGGGCAGTGTGGGGATGGGTGCTGGGCCGGGCCACTCACCCTCTCTCTGCTCCAGCAGCCTTTGGAAGTGCTGAGCCGCAAAGGCCACCACGTTTCCGGGCTGCTCCCGCAGCACTTCCCGCACCAGCCCCTCCAGCAGGTTCTGGAAGCCGGCAGGCACCCTCACGCTGGTGGTGGAGAAGGGGACGGACATGGCCGCTCTCCTGGACTCCCTGCGGCAAAACAACCCGGGATTAACCCCAGCCCGCAGCCCCCGGTGCCACCGGGCAGCGCCGGGACTCGAACCCGCGGGCCGAGGGGGTGCGGGGAGCGCTGAGGAAGGGGGGCAGCGCCGCCGCTAGGGGGCGATCCCCTCTGCGCACGCGCAGCGCGCAGGGCACGGGGAGGGTGGGGGGGCGAGCGCGGGGAGGCCCCCGATGTCCCCACGATGTCCCCCCGATGTCCCCCCGATGTCCCCCCGATGTCCCCTCGGTGTCCCCACAGTGTCCCCAGTGCCCGCCTGGGTCCCTCGGGTCCCCCCGCGCTCCCAGTTTCCTCCCTCGGCCTCTGCTGTCAGACCCGGCCCGGGCCGCGACGCCGCCTCAGGCCGTGGGTGCGGACGCCGTCGCTTGGCAACCGCACACAGGCCACGCCCCCTATGCGGTGGCCCCGCCCTCGGGGCGGGGCGAGGGGCGGGGCCACCGGAGGGTCCGGGGCCACCGGAGGGTCCGGGGCCACCGGGGGGTACCGGGGGGCACCGGCGCCCTCACAGCCCGTCGTGCCCCCGGGATGGCGGCGTGGGCGCTGCTGGTGCTGCTGGCGCTGCTGGCTCAGGCTCCGGCGGCGGCAGGTAAAGGGCTGGGGGGGTTCACCCTCCGCCCCCCTCCCAGCCCCGCGGGCAGCCCCTGCAGCGGAACCCCCCCGAACCCCACTTCGGGGCACTTTGGCACCCCAGCATTCCGGCCTCCATGCCCTTGGCGTTTCCTAACCTCCCCCCCCGGGCCAGCTTTGGTGCCCATTGCACACCCCCCGAGCCTCGCTTCGGGGACCTTGGCACCCCCCCAGCCCCGCTTTGACGCCCAGTGCACCCCCAGACCCCCTTCGGTGACTTTGCCGCCACCCCGAGCCCCCCTCTGGTGCCCTCCCAGCCGCTCTTCCATGCCTTTGGCACCCCTGCTTAGCCCAGCTTTGATGCCCTTGCCGGCCCCCCAGCCCCTCTTTGACACCCTTTGCACCCCCAAGCGCTGTTTCAGTGCCCGGTGCACTCCCAGAGCCCCAGTTCGACGCCCTTTGCACCCTCTGGGCCCCACTTTGACACCGTTCACGCCGCACCCCCTCCCCGGTGCCCTTGGCCCGGAGCTGCCGCCGTGGGACGGTGCTTTACGTAAGGTGGGAGCCACATGCGGCTCCTCGGCCGTGTCTCGTGGGCTTTCCTCCCTTCCCTCCTCCCTTCCCTCCTCCCAGCTGCTTTTTATAGCCTCCACTCACTTCCCTGGCGTCTCAGTTCTAATTTTTTTTTCTTTTTTTTTCTCCTCCGACTTGTTTTTTATATAACTCGTTCTTCCCGGAGCCTCGTGGCAGGAGGCAGCGGGACCGGCGACGCAGCTGATTCCCGGGGGGCTGAGGAATTCTGTTCCTTGCTTAAACCCCAGCCTGGGATGGGCTGCGGAGGAGATGGGGCTCCGTGAGCTCCAGCTGGGATCCCTGCCCCAAATTGCCCCTCAAACATTGCCCCAAGCCCTTTTCAAACATGATTTTCTTTTCACGCCCCAAAAATGGAGCTTTTGGGGCTGCCAGGGCTTAGCCCTCTGCTTCCCTCCCTGCTGAAGGTGTCTTTGCCAGTGCCACATGCCTGGTGTTTCCCATCCCACCCTTGCCAAACTTTTTTCCCAAGGGAAAAATACATCAGAACATATCTATCAGCAAGGCTGGGCTGGCAGAGACGCTCCCATGCTGTTATTAGAGGAATTTTTACCAAAATCTGTGTCTAAATCTGTATAACACAAGATGTAACACACTCTCTGTGCTTTGGGAGATGAATTCTCTCCTGGGGACTTCAAATCCTGTCGCTTCCTCATCTCTGGGGTGATTTTAACCACTTACAGCTGTCCAGGAAGCTGTAAATTGAGCGGATTCTCATATAATCTGTGTTTAAGAGGAAATATTTAAGAGGCTGTTTTCTTCTTGGAGCTGATGTTTGCCCTGTCTGGTGATTCCAGGGGGGATGCTCAGCTTTGCCTCCTACTACGGCGACCACATGGTGCTGCAGAGGGAGCCGGCGGGGGCCGTGGTGTGGGGCCACGGGGAGCCGGGGGCTGTGGTGACCGTGACTCTCTCGGGGACTGAGGGCCTTGTCATCATGAAGAAAACAGCACAGGTTAAAGGTCAGTCCTGGCCCCTCACCAAGGACTGGGGGCCGTTGGTTGTGGTGGCCGAGGAGCTCGTCCGAGCCCAAACCGGAGCAGCCAGTGGGGTTTGTCACCACCCCGGGTTTGTCTTCTGGGGGTGCAGAGGCGATGGTGACTTCTCCACATCATGCTTTCCCCTCTGCAGGAGATCTGGGGGGGTTCAGCCATCCCTGCCAGCACCAGCCTTTGCTCACTTTGGTTCCCAGCAGCAGATCCCGTGGGCGCCCAGCGGGAGCCGAGCTGCCGCTGGAGTGGGTGGCACCGCACAGGCTGGAGCCGAGCGGCGAGGCTGCCGAGGGGAGAGGGGGATCCAGCTCCTCTCCCCATCAAAACCATCTCTGGGGAATCTCCAGAGCACTCCTGGCTTCTTTTTCTATCTGTGCCCTCTTGGGATCTCTAAGCCCTGAAGGATGTCGCCCGTGCAGGCAGAGACTTCCTGGGGGCTGAGAGGGCTCAGGAGCACCTCAAATCCCAGCTGCTTCCCTGCTTAGAGAGTTGGGGGGCTGCTCATCACCTTTGAGGGGGTAAAACTGCTACCCAAGGGCACCTCCACAAGCTGGAGAGCCTGGAGATGTCTTATAGGAGAGCAATGATTCCAGGAGATCTGCAGGATCTGGCCCAAAAATCCATGCTAAGCTCCAGCAGAATATCTTCATGCCTCAATTCGGCACCTCTAAAATTAGCCAGAGACATCTCGGTGTCACACACACCAAGCTGCTCCTGTAGTCCCGGTTCCTCCCAGCAGCTTCTGCTCTGACACACATTTGTTTTCTGGATTTTCTTTTTTAACCCCTAAATTCCTCCAGGAGGAAAGACCCTCTGATGGCAGAGAGCTTCCAAAATCCATTTCCCCAGCCTAGCTTTGTGGTGGGGAAGCTTGTCCATCCCCACTGGTTGTTGGCCGCTCATCCAATATCCCTGTGAAGGTCTTGAGATCTTTATAGGGCTGGTAGAAGCTAAGCACCATCCTCTTCCTTCAGGACCTTCTGGGACATGGACAACTGTCCTGGACCCGATGGATCAGGGTGGTCCCTACGCACTGACGGCCGAGCAGGGCTCAGAGAACGTGACACTGCGGGACATCTACTTTGGGGACGTGTGGCTTTGCAGTGGGCAGAGCAACATGGCAATGACAGTCCTGCAGGTAAGGCCCCACGGCATGGATCAGGCAGGATCAGGTAGGGATCAGGCAGGGATCAGGCAGGGAAGCACCTCGCACGCTCCCTCCCCTTCCCCAGGTGGCCAACGCCAGCCAGGAACTCGCCGCCGCCGCTCGCTATCCCTACGTCCGCATCTTTGCCGCGGCGCCCGCCCGCTCCGACGTGGAGCTGGAGGACCTGGAGCGGATTGCCTTGCCATGGTCCATCCCCACGGCTGGTGAGTGCAACGTGCCTCCAAAAGAAAGCCTGGAAACGGCTTTCCCCCTCCTTTTTCCCCTTGCAGCCCACTGTTTCTTGAGCAGAAAACCTGGGCCACGGGAATTTCACCTACTTCTCGGCCGTGTGCTGGCTGTTGGGGCGCTCCCTGTACGAGGCTCTGGGGTCCCCTGTCGGGCTGGTGGAGGCGGCCTGGGGGGGAACACCCATCGAGGCCTGGTCCTCCCGCCAGGCTCTGCAGGCGTGTGGGCTTCTGGAGGACACGGGGAGGTGAGAGAAGGTGCTGTGGAAACACCTCTTGCCTTGCACCACACTGCTTTTGGGGAGTATCCGCATCCCTTCCCACCCCACCTCCTCTCCTGCTGTCCCCTCTGTGCGTCGTTTGTCCCCCTCTGGATAAAATCCCTTCCCATGCCAAGAGCATAGGGCAAATCTAGGTGGGTGGAGGGGGAAGATGAGGCCCCCAGAGCTCCCCTTTGGCACAGTGCTTGCTTTAAGCTCCCCTTGTGCTTTGCAATCCCTTTAAGCTCAGCTCTGTCTTCCAGCACCTCCCCACACTGGCATCTCTCCGGCCCACAAACACCATCCGTGCTCTGGAACGCCATGATCCACCCGCTGCTCAACATGACCCTGCGGGGCATCGCTTGGTACCAGGGTGAGCCTGTTTCCATCCCCCTGGGGTTCAGCAGCCCCTGCTATCCCACGGGGCTCTTACCGACCCTTCTCTCTGTGGGACAGGTGAGGCCAATGCCTTCCTGCACACGGACCAGTACAACTGCACCTTCCCTGCACTCATCGCCGACTGGCGCCGCGCTTTCCACGCTGGATCAGCCGGACAGACGGACCCACTCCTCCCCTTCGGCTTCGTGCAGGTTGGGGGCGTGAGAGACAGGACCCCCATGGGGTTGTCCAGGAAGGTTTTACCCACCCTTTCCCAGACTGGAGGCCACATCCAAGCTGGCAGCAGGGAGAGGATGCTGTAAACACGGGCAGGTCCTGCTGGGTGCTGAATCCTGGGCAGGGGCCAGAATGGCCATTTTTGGGAGTGATGGCTAAGCCACTCCTCTGTTCTTCCCCTGCCTTGCAGCTGTCCACCTACCGCCGTGAGAGCCCCGACGACAGCTTTGCCCGGCTCCGCTGGCACCAAACAGCCGACCTGGGGGTTGTTCCCAATGCCAGGATGCCCGGCACCTTCATGGCCGTAGCCATGGATCTGGGCGATGAGCACTCTCCCTACGGCAGGCGAGTCCCGGGCCGGGGTGAGGGTGTAGGGATGAAGCTTTTGGGTACCAACCCCATCTCCTTCCTCTTCCTTGGCAGCATCCACCCTCGGGACAAGCAGAACGTGGCACACCGGCTGCTGCTGGGCGCCAGGGCTGTGGCCTACGGGGACAAAGACCTGGTTTTCCAGGGGCCGTATCCCACCCGGGCCGTCCTGGAGGTGACCAGGGGGCTGCTGAACGTCACCTACAGCCAGGAGCTCATCTGCCGTCAGAGGGACGCACGGTCATTCGAGGTGAGGGGTAGGAAATCCTCCCCGAGGGGCTGGGAGAGGGGAAAGCCACGCTGATGAGGGTTTCTCCCCTCCCCAGGTGTGCTGCTCCAGCCAGGCGTCCCCGTGCCGGTGGCTGCCGGCACCGGTGGTGGCCGTGGGGTCCCGCACGGTGACACTGGCCCTGGGTGGCTGTGGGACTCTGGTGCTGGGCCTGCGCTACGCCTGGGCCGAGTGGCCCTGTGAGTACCAGTCCTGCCCCCTCTACAACCCCCAGGGGCTGCCTGCACCCCCCTTCCTGCTGGACACCCTCCCCACAGGCAGCACCGATGGAGAGAGGGAGCTGCTTCTCCTCCCTGGCTCTGGGTTCTCCTGAGGGATTTAGGGGAGAGGAGGGAGCTCAGGCTTCTGGGTCCCTTTCCAATCCTGGGAGGCAATGGGCTCGATTACTGTCCTACTAATTAAACAACTTTCCAGCTCCTCTTTGGCTTCAAGCCAAGGCTGCGGGGGGAAAAAAAAAAGCCAATTTACAATTAAATTTATGAAAAATGATTTTAAGAGAAGCAGTAGGACACACTGATGGGAGCCAAACCTCTCACTGCTTCTCCCTCTGCCCGTGGAGCTGGTCCTGGCTCCCCAGGACACCCCATTTCTCAGGGCATGGACTGCTCACCCCCACAGCAGGGTGCTTGTGGGATCCAGGGATCAGCTTCCAGCTGCAGGGTAGAGTGGGGAGAGAGGAGCTCTGCCAAAAACCCACAGCCAAAGACTAAGGCTGGGCTAGGAGAGGGAGCTGTGAAGGGTGTGAGTGCCTTCTACCTCCCTCTGTTAATAAACAATAAATAGTAAATAGTTAATAAACCAGCTTATTTTATTCCTGGATCCTTTTTTCCTTCAGAGGAGTACCCTTTATTCCTCCATCCTCCCCCTCCTGCTGTAACAGCAGGGAAATTTGTGTGGAAGAGGCACATTGTGGCACCCAGTGCTCGGAATAAGAGAACCCAAGAGGTTCTGTGCAAAACATTGATTGTTTAACCCTATTTTTCTGGAAAAACATACATAAGAAGGGAAAGCCCAGCTGCAGGAAAAGCAGGTGGGCTCAGCCCAGCTGCCACATCACAGCTGTTAGAACCAGGGTAATGCACTCAAGCGATGCTGGAAAGAAGGATGTGGATCAAAGTGGATCCTGGGATCGCAGGATCCCTGCCTGCTCCTGGATCAGGCAGAGCCGAGTGAGTCCCGGGAGGGTTTTCCTGTCATTTCCACTCCAGGTTTCGGTCCTAGACAGGGCAGGAAGAGCAGGCAGTTATTTAACAGGGTGATGGCACACTGGGAGCTGGGCTTTCTCCAGCAGCGTGTGACTGGCCCATGAGCCAGGTGTGCTGGCCCTGTGGTTGCCATGGCAACGAGGATGTGAAATCCAGCTCAGTCTGGGTGGTTTTTTTAAACCACAGCTCAGACTGTGTGTTCAGGGCCAGGAACGGAGCCCAGGCCTCCCAGCTCCTGCCTGCAGGGATGGGCTGCCTTACACAGCCTGGAAACCACTGCCATGGGCACCGGGGATCCCTGTGAGATCCCAAAGGAGGCACCCACCTCCCCAGAACCCAAAGCACATGGGAGAGGGAGCAGTGCAAGCCCCAGGGATGTGGCTCTCCCTTGGAGCCTGGCTCCCTCTCTGCACACAGCCCCACTGTGCCCACCAGTGCCATGCAAACGGGAGAAGGGAGCAGGCACGGCATCCTTGGTATCAGCCCCCCATGATTTAAAGCTCCCAATCCCACTCCAGCAGGCTGAGCTGCCAAAAACAGGGACCCTCGTGGCCCTGCAGTTTGCCCAGAGCTTGGATTTAAGTGGCAAGCTCTCTGCTTGCTGTTCCTATAGCAACTCCTGCCCACGCCTGGGATTGCAGTAACGTTACATCCCAGCTGCCAGAACCCTCTCCCAGAGCTGTCAGCCCTCACGGTGACCCCCAGCAGCCCCCCAACTACCCCCCAAACACCTCAATGTCTTGGCAAAGGGTTTAGGGCAGCGGTGGACGGATCCAGCCCCATTCCCGAGGTGGGATCTGGCAGTGTAGGAACCAAGAAGAAGAGGGAAGTTGTCTCTACCCAAAGAGCCTACCTAGGGCCGTGCCATTGGAGAGGGCTGTGCCACCCTCGGCCTCGGGGGTGCAAACGTGGTGCTTGGGCTTGGTGGTCTCCAGCCCGGCCAGCAGCGTCATGAAATCGATGACGGTGTCGATGTCCTCCTTGTTGGCCGTGGTTTCCCTCAGGGCGCTGACGGCGTTGAGGCGGCCGAAGGAGGTCAGCTCGGAGATGTTGGCGCGGAGGAAGAGGAGGATGACGTTGAGGTCGTTGAGGGGGCAGGTGAGCATCCTGCGGCTGAGCAGGTCGAAGGCAGGCAGCATCTCGTAGACGGAGAGCAGCCCCTTGTCCCACTGGCAGAGCTGCAGGGCATTGTAGATGACGACGGGGATAAGGAGGATGTAGACGCTGCCGACTGAGAGGCTGATGAGCTGGAAGATGGAGAAGAAGACCAACTTGCAGGGGATGAGTGGGGGGATGTGGGGCTCTGCCTGGAGCAGCCCTGTTTTGATGGAGCAGCTGAACTCATCCTGAAAGAAGATGTTGAGGTGGAGGAAGACCAGGTAGAGGCAGGTGGCAGCCAGGAACAGGAGCAGCAGAAGGTTCCTTAGGATGTAGATGAACGTCAGGGCGTGGGCGTGCTGCTTGCAGGTCAGGTACCGCTCCAGCAATGGGAACTCAAAATACCTCTCCCGGCGGGCCCTGTGGGCAGAGGGACACAGTGGGAGTGAGAGCCACCCCCCAAACCTCACTGCTTCACCCAAGTCCATCCTGGAACAGCCACAGCCACAACACCCCGAGGAGGGACTCCAAGGGCCACAGTGACCCAGCAGGGCCTCACCTCTCGTACTCCTCCCAGAATTGCTCTGGCTCGGCACTGGCCTGCTGGACCTTCCTCATGTGCTGCACCAGGCGCACCGAGCGGTTGTAGGATTTATCCAGCTCGTCGATGATGAAGAGCAGGTCGGAGTGCAGGGCGGGGGCGGCGGCGTAACGCCACAGCAGGTACGGCAGGTACATCAGCACCGCCACCACCAGCAGCGAGTAGGGGAAGACCTGGGCAAAGGGGATGAGAGGGCGTTGAGGGTGCGGAGTGTGCACCCAGGTGGCATTTGGGGGCACCCAGACGTGACTTTGACCCTACCTTGAGAGCCCAGAGGGACTTGGTGACAGCGTGTCCCTCGGCATCGAAGCCGTGGTGGATGAGGGAGTCCCAGCAAGCCGTGTCGGCGTAGGCAGACTGCTTCCCCGTGAAGTTGGTGGGAGAGAAGCAGCTGATCTGGGAGCCTGGGGTGAGGAGGAGGAGGGGAGTGAACCTCAGCCATGGAGGGTGGAGGAGCATTCCAAAGCCAGGAGGGTGATTACATCTAAGGCATCGCTTTGAATTAAAAAAGCCTTTTTCATGGTCATTTTGGAGCTGCTTTTCCTCACTGCTGCATTTCCAGCAAGGACTTTTCCATCTCTTCCCAAACACAAACCCTTTGTGCACAGTGGTGTGTACACGGTGCCGGGAATTAGAGACCAGCCAGACTGAAGTAAAACCAAATCCCCAGGGGAAGCAGCAGAATGTTGGCCGAGGCCAGATTTAGCCATGACACACCATCAATGCATCCCTCTGTGCTGCCAGCACCCTCCTCCTAAACAACCCCACGGCGCCCGAAGGTGCTGGGCACGAGCAGCTGAGGCTGGGCATCGATTCAGCGCTGCTCCTGGGGCGCATTGAACAGCCTAGCATGGCTGTTCCCGGGCTTTCCCAGTGAACAGTGATCCATTAAAAACAATCAATAAACACCCATGACGCAGAACAGCTCCTAAAACAGGACTTCCAGGCTGCTCTGTCTTGGATCACGACATCAGCACGAACACGAGGGGTTTGCCGTGACAACCAAACCCCCGCCGGCGATTGCCCTCAGCCCAAAGATCCCTTTGGAAAAGCTGCGACTCACCGGCAGAGAACTCCCGGGCAAAGGCCAGCGAGACAAGGCAGAGGGGCAGCCCCACAGTGACAAACTTCAGCAGGCGATCGCTCGGCAGCTCCAGCCGCAGGCCCTTGGCTCGGGAACTGCCGGGATCCGGGAGCAGAGCGTCGGAGAGCATGTACTCGGCAGCCGTGTGCGAGAGGGACATTTTGAAGCGAGGAAGAGGAGACGCTGGCAAGTGCTGCTGGTGCCTGGCAGCTCTGGTGTTGCCTGAGGTGTGACCGGCTCAGGAGGGAGTTGGCCGAGCTGAGGAGTCCCTGCCGAGCACTGCGTCCGATGGCTGCGAAGGACAGCTCAGACAGGGCGTTAAATCGCCCTGTAATTACAGGGGAAGCCTTTTCACAAATAGAAATAGAAAATCCCACCCCAGCAGCCACGGCAGCGGGCTGGGGAGGCAGAGTTCCTCCTCGACAGCATTCCTCCCCGGCAGGGTTCCCGCCCGGCTGTGGCCATTCCCGGCTCCCCGCGGTTTTACACCACTCTCTCATCAGCTGAGGGATTTCTGGTGCCGTGGCCTGAGGGCACGGGGGTGCCTGGCTATTTTCAGTGGGAAAGCAGGGGACAGGGCACTCCCCCAGGGAGAAGTCCCAGATACACAGTGGCCCCGTGGGGTACAAAGAATCCTTTCCAGCACCCAAACCAGCTAGAGGGGACCTGCTGCCCCACCTTAAGGTCCTGGCACAGGCCAGGAGTCACAAAACAAGGCAATTTTGAGGCAGAACATCAGCTGCAATTCCCCAGATTGTCAATCCCTCTGGCCTCCCTCTCGAGGCTCCAAGAAAAGCTCCCAAGGGCAAGAGATCCCAATAAGAGGATCTAGAAACAAGGGATGGGGTAACTGGAAGGGGCGGTGGGACAGAGCAGTTTCTCCCAGGAGCACAGTCAGTGCCCAGAAATCCATGCTAACACTGCTGGCAGCACAGAGCAGGGGCAGTCCTGGAGCTGCTCAGCCCAGCCAAGCCAAGGAACTCCCCATGCAGTCTCTCAGCAGTGAAAAAACTCCACAGTCACTGCCAAATCGCACTTTCGATGGATTTTCCAATGAAGGGACTTTCCAAATCTGAGCTAAACAGCTCTAAAGGGAAAACTGATGGTTCCAATTCAGGAGAGGTTGCACCCAGGTGTGCTCAAACCTGCCCAGGGACTGAGTCCCACCCAGCCTGAGCACAGAGACACACAACACCTTCCCTCGAGGGAACCGGAGCTTTTATTGCTCGGAGACAAGTCCAAAACATGGATCAGGCAGAGCCCAATGTCCATCCAGCCTCGTTTGTCTAAACTAGAGGCTCTTCAGTGTGCCCAGCTGCTTTCCTGTGCCAGAAGCACACGCAGGCACCTGCTCTGAATCCAGCAACACCAGCCTACAGACCGTAGGCATCACCCTGCTGCTGGCTCCAAGGTGGGCACAGCCACTGCCACGTGCTGGACATGAGGAGATAACCGGTCCCACTCCTCATCAGTCCTTAGCAATGTCCAGCTCCAGCTTCTTCAGCGTTTTTTGGAAGAAGTGGGGTGGTTTGCAGACGAGGTCTATGGGCTGGCCCAAGGGCAGGCAGAGCCGGTGGGCGTGCAGGTGCAGGGGCAGGTGCCGAGCCTTGCTCTGCTGCAGCTTCAGCCTCCTCAAGGTGAGCACAGGAAGCTTCTGCAGCAAGAATGAAAACGTCCCTTCAAAACCCCAGCTCTTCAGCTGGGACACGAAATCCCTGGCCCACAGGGAGCTGGGGGACACAAGGGGCTGGATCCAGTGCAAGATCTGCCCTACCTGGGGTGCCAGCTTGCTCCAATGTGAGTATTTGTGATCCCCCAGGATGGGGCACCCCAAGCCATAGGCCAAGTGAACACGGATCTGGTGCTTCACCCCTGAGGAGAAAACAGAAAGAGGAGAAAAGTGACATCCAGCCGTGCCAGGCCTCACCTCCCACCCACCATCCTCAGTGCTGGGCAAGGCTATGCCAAAATTGCCGGCAGCTCAGCAGCAAACCATCGCCCCAGTGGGGCTTATTCCCAGAGCCTTGTCCCAGAAAGGATTCCAGTCATGTCTAACGATGAGCTGCCACTTCCCCGTGCTGCTCCTGGCCCCCTCACCGGTGATGGGCTGGAGCTCCAGCAGCGAGCAGGCGGAGGCGCCGGCCAGCCGGCGGTACCGCGTCACCGCGCTCTCGGCGCTCCGGTTCCTGCGGGTTTTCACCACCTTCCCATCCTCCGGACACAGGCGGTAGTTGGGAGCCAATGTCATCTGAAGGGCAGGGAGAGGGTGAGCCAGGGGAGGCAGGAGGGAGTGCCAGGGGTACCGGGCTGGAATGGGCTCACCTTGAAGTGCGACTGGTGGCTTTGCACCTCCTTCTCCACGATGGGGATCTCCACGATGCCCTCAGCAGGGTCTGGGTCCCCCAGGACAATTGCCCTAGGCAGGGAAAGCACAAATCTGTGAGGTCTCACTCCTGCAGGAAGGGAACCCTCCCCTCAGGCCTCTCCCACCACGCAGCCCTATAAAACGCTGCTGCCCCCACATCCTGAGGACTGTCCCCTCGCCCCTTCCTCAAACCCCCTTCGCAGCCCCTTCTCCACCCAAACCCTTCCTACCAGTAGATCTTCTCCACCTGACGGGTTTTGAAGAGCAGCCGGACCTTGTCCGCTGTCTCCCTGTTCCGTGCCAGCACCATGACACCCGTGGTCTCCTTGTCCAGCCGGTGGCAGAGGTGGAGGGGCTCAGCTCTCATGTTCTCCAGCATCTTGGCCAAAATGGGCAGCACATCAGCGATGCAGTTCTTGATGCCAGGGCCACCTGTGTGACCCACAGCAGGGCAGTGAGGGGAGTGGTCACCTCCCCATGCACCCTAAACCACCCCCAAGGTATCCTGGGGAGGGGAAGGCTGAGATCTGACAGTAATCAACCCCCAGGAACCCTCCCTGGTAAGAGAAACCCCAGCACAGGGAGGACAGAGACAGAGGATCCTGTCAGCACCACAGAGCCATTTCCACTCCCCCCTCTCCCTCACCATGCACAGGGAGCCCATAGGGTTTGTTGATCACCACGGTTTCCTGCTTGAGGATCTTGGCCAGGACGTTGGGGTGAACCCGCTGCAGCTGCTGGCTCAGCGTGGTGAGTTCCCGGAGCTGTCGCTGTGCTGGATCCTTGGGGATCTGAGGAGAGAACAAGATGCTCAGCAGGGCAAAAACAGCTCTTGGCTTTCACACAGAGCTCCAGTGGAACCTCTAGCAACTCACTCGCCTTCTGTGTGCGCCTGTGTCATGCCTGAGGGACAGGGTGGCATCCAGAGGGATCTGGACGAGCTCAAGCAGTGGCCCATGGGAACCTCATGGGGTTCAACAAACCCAAGTGCTGGTGCTGCTCCTGGGCTGGGGCAACTCCTGGGATCGATCCAGGCTGCGATGAAGGGATGGAGAGCAGCTCTGGGGGGAACGACTTGGGAGTGCTGGTGGGTGAGGCTGGACATGCCCTGTCCATGTGCCCTGGGCTGATCCCACAGCGTGGGCAGCAGGGAAGGGGGGGATTCTGCCCCTCTGTCCCCTCAGGTGAGACCCCATCTGCAGAGCCGCCTCCAGCCCTGGGATCACAGCACAGGAATAATGTGGAGCTGCTGGAGTGAGTCCAGAGGAGGCCACAGAGAAGCTCCAAGGGCTGGAGCTCCTCTGCTCTGGAGCCAGGGTGGGAGAACTGGGGGGGTTCACCTGGAAAACGGGAGAGTCCAGGGAGACCTGAGAGTCCTGGAGCCTAAAGGGGCTCCAGGAGAGCTGGAGAGGGACATTGGACAAGGGCCTCAAGGGACAGCACAAGGGAGAATGGCTTCCCACTGCCCGAGGGCAGGGTTAGACGGGATATTGGTAAGGAATTCCTGGCTGTAAGGGTGGTGAGGCCCTGGCACAGGTTGTCCAGAGAAGCTGTGGCTGCCCCATCCCTGGAAGTGTCCAAGGCCAGGCTAGACAGGCTTGGAACACCCTGGTCTAGCGGAAGGTGTCCCTGCCCACTGCAGGCGGTGGGATGAGATGGTCTTTAAGGTCCTTTCCCCCGCTCCATCCCGGGACGCACCGCCCGAGCCCGCTCCCGGGACGGCCCGCGCGGGGCACGTCGGGAGTTGTAGTCCAGCCCCTAAGGCCCAGCCGGCCGCTCCCCGCTCACCTCTCGCCGCTGCCCCGCGCTGCTCCTCAGCCGCTCCGCCAGCTCCTCCGCTCGCAGCCCTTCGGCCTCCCGCACGCTCCCGCTGAGGCCGCGCACCGCCCGGGCCAGCCCCGCACCGCCCCGCCGCCAACACTGCCGCGCCGCTCCGCCCGCCGCCGCCATCTTCCTGCCCGCTTCCCCGCGTGCCCCCGCCGGCCAATGGCGGCGGCGCCTTGGAGGGCCTGTCCAATGGGGAGGGGCAGTAAGCTGAGTGACAGCCGCGCTGCCCAATGGCAGCGGGGCGGGGGTGTTTAAACGGCGACAGCGGTTGCGGCCCGTAACGGAGCGGCGGGAGCGGCGCAGGAAGCGCGGCCGGGCCGGAGGTACCGGGGGCGACAGGGGTGGGGGGCCAGCCCAGTAACCCAGAATAACCCAGTGTAACCTCAGCAAGCCTCACTTTGCTGCCCCGCTGCGAGTTGACGGTGCTGCGCCTCCCTCCTTCCCTCCCCTCCCAGGGTAGGACACAGCACTGCTACAAGAGATTTCTTGAGATTTATAAAAAAACAGCACCGAAGAAACGCGCTTTCTTTTCCCAATAACAGTAATAAAAAGAAGTGCCGAGGCGTCCCGTCACTCGGTGTCCACGCAGACCCTCTTGGGCGGCTGCTCGGGGGCTGTGCTGCTGCCCCGCTTGCCCTCGGGGGGCTCCTGGTCCCCGGGCACCCCCGGCCCCCGGGGGGGGTCGATGCGGCCCCTCCGCACGAAGTGCTCGATCCGAGCCTCCAGCCCCTCGCACCGGGGCCGGGCCAGCAAGGGCTTGTAGGTGCGGGCTTGGACCCCCTCCACGAAGCTGCTGACCAGGCTGCTCCCCGGACCTGTGACATCATGGAAGAAATACGTTTAATTACGAAGAAATAC